AATTCCATACCAATTAGAACCTGTCAAGGTTATGAAAAAAGAGCACAAGGATACACTAAACAATACAGGTGACAGTAGTATAAGAAATGAAAATTCGTAAAGGAATTTGTGAGATCCTGGTTTTGCATTACTAATACAACTAATAACAACACAAGTTGGCATTATAAATTTTGATTTTGAGTTTACTGTTCAATATTTTATAACCATCAAATTAAAAACATGAAGTACGTATATTTTCGCCCGCTTTATATAACTAATATTTAACAAAAATACGGACAAATTATTATTAATTAACCCAATAATTAACACATTAATTAATGGCAATAAATCAAGATAAATGGTAATTTAAATTGTCAAAATGTCTTAACACGCGTTAAAAAACATATTATATTTGGTATTTCCCAATTTATGTGTCGTATTTGGCATTTGACTATTAACAAGGAAAATCAAAAAACTAACAAAATTGACAAATACAAGTTTTCAAGCAATTTTCCTTTCCAATTCTCATTTATTCAAAGAAAAGTTACAACTAAACTTTTATTTCTCTCATCTAAAGAAAGAACGAGTGACGCAAAAAAATATATATTCCATACAACTCTCATTCATTCAAAGTTTAATTATGTAAAACTTTTCTTGCTCTTTTGTTCTACACTTTTATAAAAAGAGAAATAAAAACTTTTCTTTCTTAACATAGAATTAAACTTAGAAAAAAATCAACAATAATCAAGTAAACAACACAATATCACATGATTTCAGGGGCTTTTTATTTTTATTACTAAATTCGTTTTAATAATCGTTCTAAATAAAAAGTAAATTTAGTTCAAGTTAATATTTTAATATTTACAGTTGTAATATAAAAAAAAAAAGATGATTAATGCTAAACTTTTTATTTAATTATATATTTTTTACCTACATTTGTTAATTAAATAACCAAATAAAAATGCTGTAACTAATTTGATACAGGTAATTATTATAAAACAATTTTTTATCAGAATCTTGATTGAGATAATAAATACTTCATTAATTATTAATATCAAATACAGCACAATAACAATTTATAGCAACAAACAAGCATAAAATATTTGAGGTTTATAGTATCTTTTTAAATGTTAAAATTAGAAAATAAATAACTAAACAAATAATCAAAAAACTTATGAATAAAAATAAAAATTTTTCCAGAGTTTCATTTGTTAAAAATTCTACTGTGACATCAAATACTAAAACTTTTATGAATTATACGCGCTTCAAAGAAATTGCTGAAGTCTGTATATTGCAATGTATGATTTAAAGACTCCGAGTTTTTGAATAAAATGGAGAAGGTGAGCTTCGGCTAAAACAACAACATTAGTTTTTCTTGGTATGCATTCATTATTTATTTTTAATCAAAAAAACTTGGTTTAAACCTTTTTTTTTAAATTATCTTTAATATGAACACAACGTGTGTTGGAAGTTTGGGATCCCTTTAATATTTTAGAGCCAAGTCCTCTCTCTTTATCCTTCATTTAATGGCTTAGCTCTAGTGTCAGAAAATTTTTAGAAAATTTTCCCACCCACCCTAAACTTATTAAGACCCTCGTTTAATAACTTTTACTTGTTATCAACAGAAAATATCTCATAATAAAAAAAAAATAAGTAAAAATCAGCTTTAAGAATTAAAAAATATATACTAGTAACTGATGAATATTGAAACTTTTAGTGTAAATTCCAACCCCCTCTCATTTTTTAATCCCTTTTACTAGATCTGGAATAAAATTCTCACCCACCCTTTTATTTCAACCCCCCCTCCCTTGCATAGAAGACTCAAGAGTAACATTAAACAATATTATTTCATCCTCTAGGACTCTTCAGTAATGTTTTGATTTTATGGGACCAAATTTTAGCAAAAAACTAGAAAACTTTTTTAAAGAAATTTGCTTTAAACTTTTGCTGTGCAGAAGCATAGTGGGCAAGCACTATGCAAACAGCAATAATGCATCTCATTAAGGAGAGAGCTCAACTAAAAAACTACAGAACTATATCCAACATTAGATAATGTTGTTTCACGAAGTTAAGTGAAGCATAAAACAGTTAACGGGTGTTCACTTGAAATCCGGACTGACTTTAAGTCAATATAAATCTGACATATTGTATTGCAATTGTACCATGTGATGCATTATTTTAAAGCGTTTAAATTTAGCTTTAATATGCTACATTTATATTTAGATTGAATGATTATTCAAATTGAAAATGAAACCTAAACAAGATGACACTCGAAAACGTGTGTACAACTTCTATATTGAAAATAAAGAAAAAGGCAAAAAGTACACCGTAGATCATTTTGAAAAAGAAAAAATTGCCAGATCGACCATCTATGATATAATTAAACGTGCTGATGACGATTCTGGGTATCTTAGACGTCCTGGTTCAGGAAAAAAAGCTCTAAAAATGACCCAAAAAAAAGTACAAGCGTTAAAATCAATGTTTAATCATCATGATGGCATTTCTTATAGGAAAGCAGGTAGAAAATTTAGAATATCAGCTTCTTATGCCCATAAAATTATTCAGACAAAATCAAAGATCAAGAAAAGAAAGAAGAAAAGATTCCACATCAAACTGATGATCAAAAACTGATGGCAAAAACAAAGTGTGGTAGATTCTATCGAGCTTTTAGCAAATTTGATTGGATCATTGATGATGAATCTTATTTTACTCTTTCTCATTCATCAATCAACGGAAACGATAACTTCTACACAAGTGACATAAACCTCTGACCATCTAGTGTCAAATATTATACAAAGCGAAAGTATGAACCCAAGCTCCTGGTCTGGGTAGCCTTTTCTGTAAAAGGAATGTCAAAAATTCTAATCCGTCAAAGTGGTCTTGCAATCAATCAAAAAATCTACTTAGAAGATTGTATTAAGAAACGTCTTATTCCTTTTATTAAAGAGCATCATCAAGACAGTCAATTCGTATTATTGGCCAGATCTGGCGACGTCTCATTATGCTAAAACTGTTAGCATAATGAGACGTCTGTCAGATTTGTACCAAAAGAAGATAACCCTGCAAATGTACCAGAAGCAAGACCTATTGAGGATTTTTGGTCAATAATAAAAGGTTTAGTTTACAAGGATAATTGGCAAGCAGAAAATTTAGAACAACTAAGGAAAAGGATAGTGTATTGCTTAAGCAAAGTTGATATCAATCTTGTACAAGAGTTTGCAAAGGGTATTTTATCAAGAATTGATTCTATAAGAAGAAAAAATTTATTTGAAAATAAATAAAGTATCATATTATAGAGAATTAAATGCTGATTTTAAATCATATTTTATTTTTTTAAGTTGATAAAAAATAAGGGAGTTATGACCCTTTAAAGTCAGTCCGGATTTCAAGTGAACACCCGTTATTTAAAAAACTTTTTTATTTATAAATAAATCATCTAGCGTTAGTTTTATTGGTTGAATCTTGTTAGACTTTTCAGGGCTGGGGGGCTATTTTATTTTGGTGGCCTTTTTTATGTGCCACAGCGTAATAATAACTAAAAAAAATACCGAAAGGTCCTCTTGACTATTTTACGGCCCCTAACATTGTGAGTCCTGGGGCTATAGCCCTTCTACCCCTCCCCCACCTCCTCATTGCAGCATTGGAAATAAGACATAAAAAAAATAAAAGTTATATATATTCTTTGATAAATCAAAGAACATTTGTTTCCTTATTAAACAACCATTAATAGTAAGTTGTTACTTTATATAAAAAATGTTGCTTAATTTTATAAAAAAATTTAAAAAGAGTGACGTTTCAAAAACAATTGCTCTAAACGTATTTATTTTGCTTAAAGTTTTATCGCAATAAAAGTTATTTTTCTTTTTTTAATTGTCTCTCATTGGTCCAGTTAATCTTGTTGCGCTTTATTGTTTATTTTGAAATGTTCTCAAAACGGCTAAAAAATCTGGCTAATTTTTCGCAACTAAATATTATTTCTGTGATTAATTATTGAGTGCAATCACACCCGCTTCCTGACCAAGCCTGGTTACTCATCATTTAATTAAGTCTCATCCTTTTACTGTGACTGTTTCTAAGTGCTCAAAAAATTCCTATTTGTCTAGTTTTTTTCCTCAAACATCAGTTCTTTGGAATTCGCTTCCTTCATCTTGTTTTCCTAATTCATACAATTTGCAATCTTTTAAGTTGTCTGCTAACCATTATCTTGCTCTACAAGCTTCATTTTTCCTCTTCAGCCTTGTTGAAAATGAAGATATTAAAAAATGGGGCTGCAATCTTTTCTTTTATTATTCTTTGCTTTTTTTCCTATTTTTTGAAAAATCAAAGTGCATATTTTTACATTAAGAGCGCAAAATTTTACGTTGTCTGTTAAGCACAAAAATGATATATAAAGTAAATTAGAAATTTATTTTATATATCAATTTTCAGTCAATTTAAAATGAAAATTTTAGGGGAAAAAAATTTTTTTTTTAGTATTTTAGGAAAAAAAATTAACCCATACCATTTCAACAAAAAAATGCAGACAATCATTTTTTATATCTAGATAGTACCTACCCAAACTTTTAGTTATGTTTTTAAAAATAAAAAGCCTCTGCAGATGATTTCAAATAACATCATCAATTATGTTTTGTGCAAGGCTAAGTATGCAAAGATATTTGCAATTACATTTACACACACATATATTAATACATGTATATAAACAAACACACGCATTAAACAGTGCCTACATAAGCGCTTATGGCCAAATAAATGAAAATGACTGAATAAATCAACTTATAAATGTAAACTTTGCCGAAAAATAAAAAATGTAGCAACAATGAGTAAAAAATTTGAACAAAAAAATTTCTTCTATTTATATAGAAATATAAAATATTAGCTATTAAATTTACTTTTGTGGTTAAAAAATAAAATTTAATGGACTACATTAACTTAAATGTTAAAGTAATAAACTTGTTTTTTACTAATATTATCTTATAAATTTGAACTTTAAACATTAAAAAAATTTTTTTAAGGTAACAAACCTGATTCTCTATGAGATTTCCCGCCACTATATTCACTGGGAACATCACTTATGCTAGCTAGCTCACTTTTACGTGTATTTCTTAGTTCTTTTATGGCAGTGTGCCATTGGTCAAGTGTAAGTCCTATATTTAAATGCAAAGGAGTGAGCCCTTGGCGTTCAATGCGTCCAATGAGTGACTCAACCTAAAAGGTAGCTTCATTTAAGAACAAACAAACATATAAAATTAATAGTAAATTTCCAAACAAAAATTAAAATAAAAAACAAATGGAATTTTCATTCTTGTCAGAATAGTGTAAGAAAGCCAGTAGCAGCCAATTTTACCTTTTGATGTTCTTTTTCTTGATCCATCACAAGCTTGTCTACACGAGTTGAATTAGATGGATATTTTGTAGAGGTTAAATCTGAAGATGATTTCCTTAAACAACAGCTTTGTGACAAACTTGAGTCTGCCTAAAATCTCAAAAAAATAACACTTGAAATTATTCATTGTAATAAACTTTGTACTACATGTGTACAGAATTACATTTAATGAAAATTAGAATATATTAGTTGGTTACCAATCTTATTACATACTGTAGTATAACATTTTAGATTTAAATATTTACTAATATGAAAATATTTACTAATAATATAATTAACGCTATTATTTTATGTTCTAGGTTAGTTATGTGTAATCCTGTATGGTATGGCCCTGTTTGATTAGACCATGACTACACATAGAGATACAGTGTACTACATAATATAACATGCACATATCAGACATAGTGTACTACACCATAGTCCACTACAACGCAGTGTATTAGGTTTGTGTGTTTTAGTGAGGTGATTGTAGAGCGCTTGTATCATTTGCGACAAAGTTCAGAGTTCGATCTTCATCACATCTCTGGTAGTACCGCATTTAACTTGTTTCTCCCTGTAGCAGCCTTGTTCATCAAGGTTTGTGTATTGGAGTTAGAGAATTGAGAGAGGATTGTAACCACAATTAAAAGGAGCCTTCTCCACAGTAGTGTCCTTCATGGTCTTGGGGAGGTAAATTAACATTTAAAAAATGTAACATTTTTTAAATGTTAATTTACCTCCCCAAAAAAAAGTAAATAAAAAATAATCCAGTTTTATTACTTAGACATTACTAAGACACCAGCTCATACCCAAACTCACCAGTTGATGCCATACCCTAACTCACCAGTTGATACACACTTCACTTCCCTTTATTATTACTTTAGTATGGCATCATTAGCAACATTTGTTGAGAAAAAAAGAAAATAACTTCAAAATGGATCATAAACATTGTAAAACATTTAAACTATGGTAATTATAATAATTCAAACTCAAATCAAAGACCAAATATATCCTTAAGATCAAATCATATATGGGAAATAATAAATACTAGGCAATGCTGCTATATGATTATGACATAGGAAATTGTTTATCATTACAGACAGTTTTTACAAATGCTAAATCTCCCCACTTAAATAATACACATTTATTATAATTATCTACAAAATATTCAATACAACAGTGTTCCATTTCAAAATGGGTTCTTGTTTGAGTTAATCTTATCCTGGTTTGGTTTTTAATATTTCATGTAGTTCTTAAAGTTCTGAAAACAATTTTAAAAGGTGTACATATTTAGGTGTACATATTTTAAAAATTATAAGTGTTGATATTAATTATTCAAAATTAAAAGTGTAGATAATAATTATTAATAATTACAATTCTACGTTTTAATTGTATAATTTTCAAGTAACAAATAATAAAAACATATACAAAAAATATACAAAAGCCCTGAAAACCTTTTTAATTGGCCTGGAATTTGTTTAGCATGAAATGTGTGTGTATGTGTGTAAGCGTGTTTGTGTGTGTGTGTGTGTGCAAATGGCTGCATTAAATCAAAATAAATGACTTATGTAACACAAAAACAAAAAATGCTGACCTTTCTATTATCTCTATCAAGATGGCGCAGTTGATCAAAACATGTATCTAAACTTATACCTAGCTTTTCCAAATAAGTAACTTGCAAATCATACATGTTACACATTTGTTTATTTTTTGTTTGATTTTGAGAGTGCAAATGAGCACACGAAAAATAACCACACTGCTCACAAACAACTTTTGCTTGTTCATAGCTCTGACTATAATATTGAGAATTTGAATAAAATGGTTGTTGCCCAACATACAAATGGTGGTCAGAATGACTTTTTTGCTGTAACTGCTGGACTTCATTAGAACTTTGAAGTTGGTATTGAGAGAAAGGTAAAGGAGGTATAGGATATTCGGGAGATTGAGGATAATATACAGATTCCTCTTTAACCTTTGATAAATAGTCCATATTTAAATGTGAAGTATCAATTTCAATTTTTTCGAACGATCTTTGAGATTCAGTGTATGAATTCTCAAGAGACTGTTGACTAATGGAGTTCATGACATCATCAGTTTGCGATAGTTGAGTTAATTCATTTGGCGAAGGATCAGGTGACCATATCTCATGAATAGACTTATTATTAATTGAACTCTTATCAGAAGAAGATTTTCCGACGCCCAAAGGAAGAGAGAAATTTGAAGAACTACCTGTTTGCCAAGATGCATTTGAGTATCTAAAATAAACAAAAAAAGTAAACAAAGGAAAACTGAAAGTTTTGTTCAAGATTTTTTATATATATAAAGTAAAAAAATGAGTAAAAACTTAAATATATCATAGCTATAACTACACAGTCTTCTTGTTATTTAGAGAGAAAAAATAAAAGGACAACTTTTGGATTTATAAGGTTCTCAAAAGCCATCTAAAATAGTTTAAATATTCTTAATATGGTTAATACCTGTGCTCCATTTTACGGTAGAAATTGTTATAAAAAGAAAGAAAATCAATTGATTTTTTTTCCAGTTAACCAATTTTTTTCTTTCCTACTTTTTAGACTTTTGGAAAATAATGATTATGATATATTTAATTTTCATTATCAATCAAAAGTCCAGTAAACATTTGGCTATTTGTGATAAACATTTTGAGAAAAATTTCCTTATTTAGGATTTCTTCCCATCTAAAGATGGGAAGCCTATTCTAACTATTCACTAAAATTACTATCATCAATTTATTCAACTACATGGATGAGTAAAAACCATTTGATTTGTCATCCATTAAATAATAAGGATGTATGCAGTATATTTATAGAAAAAGAAATGAAATTCAATAAATGATTTAAATAAAGTTAAGCTTAAATGAAATCTTAAAATGAGAAATACATATTTCTACTAAATCTATTCCTTCATGCTCTAAAAAATTTATGCCTCTAGTTTTTTTATGGCACTTTGGAACTCTCTGCCAACTTCATGTTTTGTCGCCTGCAAAAACAAAAATATTAAACTTTTTTATACTTCTATCAACATACTTCACTATGACAATACAGACTATTTAGGCTTTTCCATATAGTGTGGTTACAGTGCTTGAAGCCTAATGATCATATCAGACAGCAAGGTACACATTTATTTAGAATATCCATAACCGGCATCAAACAAGCAGTAGCTGAATATGTACTTGGAGTTAAAATATCAGTTCGCAGCACATCAAGAGTATAACCCTCTGCAAAAAACCATTTTGGGCATAACACAACACTAAAAACCCACATACACTATGATTCTTCTACATTTCAGCTTGCACCATCCACATCATATCAGATCTCTTCCATAGTTATGCAACAAGATACAACATACCTGAATCTTACTATCTATCCAGAGAACTCCATATTGGTCACTGGTTCTCAAAGGGTATCATCTAGACAGATGGTACCCCTTGAGAACCTGTTAGAACAGAAACATAAATACACCCTACAACACACACAGAAAGACCTAGCTAACAAAGTCAAAGAACCCACCAGCAATATCTTCCTTATAGTCATGTCATAAAACAAACAACATCATTCTGCGCAACAGGCACATCATTAACTACCCAGTTAAAAACAACTCTCCACGCTGTTCAGGCATAACACACACAAACACACTTTCTTCCAGACAGGCTTATTCATACTAAATACACAGCCTAAATAACTAAATATCTACTCATTGTTCACCCATATTCAGCAGGAATAGTATACTGCTGCCCTCTACCTACACATTAATATTATATAAGAAACATTATTATATAAGAAGCACACTACCACTGCTTTACATGCAAGTAACTTTTTTATTTCATTTATGTTTAAAAATTATTAGGTGAATAAATTTTAAATAAACCTCGCGCATCAATCTTGTAGTTTAAAACAGAAAGAATCACAAAAATTAAACAAAAATAGTGAGAAAAAATGTATACAAAGAATAAATTGTTAACTCAATGGTATGCGACCACTAATGTCTACATTAAAGTCTACTGGACCTCATTATAACAAACAACAACAACAACAACAACAACCATAAACCTTATCCCTACTTTAGTACAAATCCAGTATAAGATTCTAATGGTTTATACATACATGTAATGTGTATACATAAATTTATACATACATATATCAGGCCTTGTTTTAAAGCGTTACGCCTAGAGCGATTTACGTACGCCTTAAGCGCTTTTTACGTACGCGTAGAGCTGTTTTGGTTAAGCTACTTTTTATCATTTTTTAACTTTTAAATTAGCGGTAACATAAAAGAAGTAATTAATTTTCAAAAAAACCACATTAACTTTTAAATAACGATATGTAAAGGTATTTATTAAAAAAAAGAATTTACTTTAAAATTAATTGTTGTAACTTTTCATCGCGATATATCTTTCCTTTTTATAGCAATTAATTTGACGCTAAACTTTTTATCCAAATATTTAGCAACGTGAAAAATTGTTTGTCAATCCTTAACTACAAATTTTTTGCAATGTTTTTAATAAAAAGTAGTAAAGTTTTTAGTAAAAAACTTTTAAAAAATCTATATTCCATATTTATTAATACAGAATATAAAAGTTTTTTGTAATATAGATTTTTTATGAATTTTTTACTGAATTTATAATAAAAAACATTTGCAAAAAAATTTGTAATTAAGAATTGACATTTTTTTAAATAAAATCTCAAAAAATGTCTTAATATTTTTGTTATCATGATAACAAAAATATCAAGACATTTTTTCGAGATGTTAAAAAAAATGTCTTTGCTTTTCTTATTAGTTTAATAGTATATAGCTTATAGTTAGTTTAATAGTATATAGCTTTTCTTATTAGTTTATAGTATATAGTTTATTAGTATATAGTTTAAGTTATGCGGGGGGAGGAGGGAGGCACAGAAAAAAAAATTACCTGGTACTCGCAATATTTGAATGAAGACAATTTGTTAAAATTCTTCTGCGTGCGATTCAATAAGTTTTTTTTGTCATAAATCAAGTTATAATATAAGGTAAAGAAATCATGAGTAGACTACAACATCCGCTGATGACACTAATATTACGTTGAATATATTTATATAACGGAGGTTTTATTATGCACGCGCACATTACAGGTTCCGTTAAATAAATACTAAGGCACGTTTTAGTTTAATGACAGTCTCCATTTTTTACTAATGAATATGTATTTTTCTTTATAAAACAAAACAAACTAGTATATAAAAACCTTGTATATTTCTATTATCTCTAAATTATTTAAAGTTCGAATATGGATTGTATTTTGAAGGACAAAAGATTTACTTTAAAAACTTTTAAATCTTGGGACTTTGCCGATGCGATGATCACAGAAAAAGAGAAGACTTACGTTATTAAAATCAAATGTAAGTTATGTGATCTTCATCAAAATAAAATATTATCCAAAAACAATAGTGCCGTAAGGGCAACTGCCCAACGGTTTATAAATAATACAAGTCATGTTAAAATATTTTAACATGTTACTATATTTTAATTAAGTTGATATATAATTAAAAATAAAAATATAGTTCAATAAATAAATTAAATTTATTCTTAACAAAGATTACCTCATATTTATTCTTTTTTTTATTTTATTAAGTTAAATTGCTTACAAACGAAAAAAAAAAAAGAGTTTTGTAATTATACGTAGAATGAAAATACTTTTGAGTTTGTTTATAAGTTAAGGAACTTAATTTTTAATAAACAAATTTTTACGAACGTTTATTATAAACAGATACAATTTAAATTATTAGATATACTTAAATTATTTCAGTTGAATATTTTTATAAGTTTGCACGATTAAAGTTTGGCGTACAAGTAATTGTTTTTTTGTTTTAAGAATAATTAATAAAAGAGTTTGCATAATTAAGACTTTTATATTCAATTTAATTTTTTTTTTAATTTCCTAAAATTAAAAAAAAAAAAAGATTTAATCGTTGAAAACGATTTTTCTCTATAGCTCTGTTTCTTTGTGATTTGCTTAAAAAGTTAAATATTTTTACAATAACATAAAAAGTTTATGAATTAAATTCCTAGCGAACGCGTTCTAAACTACGTATCAAAAATACGCTTCAAAGCAGACAAAACTTTTTTATATTTTTATAAAACGCAAGTTGAAACGCTTTTAAAAATTTAAAAAATATTTAAAAACTTAAATTTTTCTTTGCTAGTCAAAACAAAATCGTTGTTTAAATAATTAAATGGGTTTGTGTTTATCAATGTTAATATTTTTTGTTTACTCTAGAAATTTTTAAAAATAAAAAAAATCATTATTATTTTTTATTCAATAACGATTAAAAACAATTATTCAAAAACAAATTTCAGAAATAATTAATATATATATATATATATATTTTTCACTAAATAATATTGAACTAAAATTAGTAATAAAATAACAATTGAAAACATTACAAAATTTTCATATTAAATTTATATTTAAAACGTTTATAGTTTATATTTGAGTTAATTGTTAAATTGAATTAGTTTGCGGTTATTTATTTATTGCGGTAGTTAAAACACTTAACGCCTATAAAAAAAAATAAAGATAATTTTATGACGTCAAAATCGCGTTAAGCTAATGCATTAAGCACTTTTTTATTTAAAACAAGGCCTGATATATACATACACACATACATACATACAATAAAAAAATAATAATAACAACTCACAAGTTTTGCTCAGATGGGTGCAGCAATGATTGAGGCTGGGGATGAAGTTTGTTGTATAGTGTATTAGAGACATCAGAAACCTGTATCTCTTCCATCACTTCATCATCTAAAACATTTGATACCAGATGAAATGCAATGTGTTTTCTTGAGGAGTTTGGAGAGAAATTAGCAAACATAACATCGCTATCAATTTGAGGATTTACAATAAATGGCAGGTTCAAGTTCTAAAAACATAACAGTAAATTTTATCAGTTTTAAAAAACCTAGAGTTTGAAATAAGACATAGTTTTAGTTAATTATTTAAATATTTCATTTTTTTTTTTTAAAACTTATAAATTGGAACATTTAAGTTCACCATGAAAATTTTGCTTTAGATTTTTAAATTGAAAGCAGTAGTTAAAAAGTTAAAAAGAAATTTAAAGGGAAAATTATTATTTTATTACCATGGTTGCTACTCAAGCAACTTTTTGTGAAACAGAAAACTTGCTTGAGTAGCAACCATGGCAGTAAAATAGATAAAAAGATAAAATAAGGATGCAACAGAAGCTCAAGCTTGCAATTACAATGCGTTTTTAGATCCTTTCAAAATGAAACCATTGGAAAAAACAACCAAATATGAGAACAGTATTAGAAAACGAATAAGAAATTAATGTAGAGAATCTGGAGGAAAATTATGCAAGATTTATGTGGAGAAGAGCAACACCCTCTTTGTTTCTCTTTCTCTTTTCTCTAAATACATTTAGTATTTAGAGAAAAGAGAAAGAGAAACAACATTACGATGTGACAATGGTTGAAGTTTGGCAACAAGAACAGGTCCTCTATGTTTGAAAACTATGTTTATAATACGATTTTACACCTTGTCTAAAAGGGAAAGCGTATCATTCAAAGATCTGCTCCATATTAGATGGAGGCAGAGAGGCTAGGGCAATTGCTCTTGATATTTCTAAGATTTTCAACAAAGTTTGGCTGGCCTTCTCTATAAGCTTGTTTTATATGGTGTATCTGGGAAAGTTTTTGAGATTATTAAATTATTTTAATTAAAACTCATTTTTGCTTGACTTGTTATTCAGCAAAGTCTCATTCATTTACTGTAACTGTCCCTGCATGCTCTAAAAACTTTTATTTGTCTTTTTTTCCCTGCACCACAACCCTTCAGGACTCTCTAGCATATTCATGTTTTCCTGACTCATACAACCTTTAACTTTTCAAGTCTTCTGTCAACCATCTTCTTGCTCTATAACTCTATTATTTTTTTTCGAGTAACTCCCAACTTAATAGTGGTTGCTTGCAGCTTTGTTGGGAGGGAATCAGAATAAAAAATAATAATAATAAAAATCTGGTAATAAAATTCCAGAACTTCCCCCAAACTTAAACACTTTCCCCTAAACACTTTCCAAACCTCATTATAACCTTATTTTTCCTAATGAAGTTAGAGAAAAGACGATCAAATCAATCACTTTGAACACAAGTTCTAAAAATTCTGAAATGCAATTTTATTGATATCAAAAAACTTCAAATAGTTTTTGATATTTTTCTTTCACCAGCTCTGCAAACTAATTTTTGCAAAAGAATAGAAAAATTATTAATTCATTTGCTATCATTAGCCATTTGGATTGAACTTATTGGTATAGCAGAGAGTACAATTGAAAAAAATGTTTTGATCTCTCAAAAAGATGTGTCAATAAAACTGTTAAAAACTCCCTTTTAAAAACTCATTTTTTAAGACAGCTACTCTGTAATCGGTAGAGGTTAGCTTAGTTAAGTTTTAAACAAGCTGCAAATCCTATACTAATGTCTGCTGGGGTTTTTTGAATGTTCCTATCTTTTATGTCAACTTGAATCTGCTGATAAAGTGCATCACATTTTTTTAGGGAACAAATTTTGAACTTTTCTTTTCTTTGAGAATAAATCAGCTTTCAATAAGTCTTCAATAATATCACCGAGAATAGTACTCTATTTAGTTTATTTAGTAGTTATTTTTTTATTTTTTTTATTATTGGTTATTTGTTTCAAACCCTTTTAGAAAAGCATTTAATTTCTCTGATACCATTTCAAAGAATTTCAAATTTGCTGTTAAAATAGGATTATGCATCATCACTTTTAATCTCTGACAACTTTTATTTTTATGTCAGGTAGTTTTCTTTTTCTAAGACTACTAACATGTGTTACAAATTTTTATGTTTTTACTAAATGTGTTACAATGGTACATGATATGTACGTTTAATATGTTTAAGTTTAATACTGAAAATGAAAGAGCACATTGCTATTCGTATGTAGACATTCCTAATCACATTATATTTGATGATAAACATTGTAAATGGAGTAAATGGAATAATACATTGAGAGTAAATGGAATAATAAATATATTGTTGTAAATGTCTTTTTAATATATTGTTGTATATTTGTTTGTTTTGGTCTTTTTTAATTAAATTTTTAACTGTTTTTTCACCAATTAAACCTAAACTTAAATATAGTTAAATTGATTCATTATCCAATTATCATAATATAATGATGCTACATGCAATTGTTAAAAATAATTAATTGGTAGTTTAATTTTAAAATTTACTAAAAGCCAAGACAATATGACATATTTAGCCATGACAATATTTAGCTATATAAATGCAATTTATTTATATCTCGCTTTGATTTTTTATCTTTAATGTTTATAGTTAGCCTTCTGGAATCATTTTATATTTTGCTTTTTATTTAAAATATTTTAAATCCATTGTGATGTCTTTTAGATTAAACTAAAGTTTACTAAAAGCCAACATGAAATAACGTCATTAAACAACACCAACAAGAACTGCTGCATCATGACAGCAACTGAAGTATCAACAGGTTAGTAAAAGCAGGTAAATTGTTTTCCAGTTATTTTTTTTTTCTTTTCTTTTATGTCTACTTACCTGTTACAATTTTTATTTTAGGTTTGTCATATGACGCATTAATGCAATATAAAAGATCAAAGTTGACATATTTTTTTAAATTTGTTATACACATGCTTGATTGTAAATTAAATTTTATTTGTTTAAAACGTATTTGTACTCAATTGCTTAGTTATTTATAATAAAAATAGTTATTTGTAATAAATTTATTTAGTTGTGTGCATTTAACGTTTTTAAGATAAAAATTTTCTTTTTTAAAGAAAAATTAATCAAGGGATACCAAAAAAATTAACAACTCCTATATAATATAAGTTAACTTTATATTAATCTTAACAATTAATTAAAGTTCATGTTATAAAAAATATTACAAGAATGTAGTTGATATTTTTGTCAATTTAAAACATGATGAAGCGTTATTATTTTGAAAAACTCATTGTGTTGAACTGTGGGAATGTCGAGGAAAATGGTTCTGCCTCACACCGATATGACCTATGTCAGTTGTAAATTACTCAAATAATGTTAAATAATAATTGGTAAATGATTTTACCTTCTCATATATAAATATAGGTAACAATTAGTTAAAGAATCGATAAAAGCCTTGAAAACAGCTGAAGTTGAACATAAGAACTCAGAGAGAGACACGACCAATGTTTCCAAAGCGTTTTTATAAATAAAGAAGGAGAACTCACACTTTTTACAGTTAAATTTAACAAAATCACTTAAAAAATAACAAAATCTCAAAGTTTACTGATCTAGATCCAAATGACAGCTACAAAATGATATTAGATGAACTAAAATTTCTCTTTGACTAATATTCAGCTTTCAGTTCAACTCAAATAAGCAAACATAATGATAACAATATAGATTAAAAATACAGATAAACATAACAATAAAGATTATAAGACTCTTTAAAGTAATTACCATCCGATTCCAGTAAAATTAACTTAAATGAAGAAGTGCCTGTATAAAACCACAATCTACTAGCAAGAGAGCAGCATGGCATTATAAGAAATAATAATTGTATCACTAACCTATTAGAAAGCCTTTATCAAGTCATTATTTTAGTTAATCTAACACTGCTAGATTTTTCTAGACTGTTAGCCATCTGAAAACATTTTTTGCTTCAATGACTTTGATACTCTGATAATGAATCAGATTTCCTAAAAAACAAAAGACAAAGAAAACAAAAGGACAAAGAAAACAAAAGGACAAAGGGTTGTTCAATCTCCAATTCTCAAATCCGATTGTGACAATATCAAAACAACCCAACACATAGCTACTAAACTGGTATTATCAAAATCTTTTATTAGAAACTCAAAGCATTAAACCTAACTTCATTTGTGGAAAAAAAACAAAAAGAAAATCTACAACAAATGTATAAAATTATGCAAATATTGACAAACTAGAAAAAGAAAGTTTTCCAACCGATAATAATCAAATGAAAGATCGCTGTTTTAAATATATAGTATATATATATAAATATAATATATATATAAAAAATATATAGATAAAATATACATACATATAATGATGACTTAATTACAGGCCTATATCTTTATCATCAATTTAATGTAAGATTATTGAATCAAATATTCATGATGTAGTTATGGATCATCTAATTGAAAACGGTGTATTAAATGAAAATCAACATGGTGTTAGGAAAAATAATAACTGTGCTACTAATTTATTAAAAACATTATAACAAGATATAATTACAGATACTCCAGAAAATAATTATTTTATAAATAATTTAGATATAGATTTTTGCAAGGCATTTGATAAAGTACTACATGCCAGATTAGTAAGAAAGATAGAAACATGGCTACCAGTTATCAGCAGTGTGCCTCACGGCTCAGTCACTTTTGTTCTTAATCTTTATCAATGACCTACCTGATAATATCCAAAACTATATAAATTTGTATGCAGATGACAGTAAAATAATAAATATTATAAAATCGGCTAAAGATCCTAAAAAGCTGCTAGCAGATCTAAATATTTTATGTAATGATCATTAATCTGGTTAACAAAATTCAATTATGATAAATGCAAGGTCATACATATTGGCAAAAAAAATCCTTAAACCACATATGTAACGCATATTTCAGATACAAATCAAGATCACATTTTTGCAGTAACTGATTTTGAACGTGACCTTGGTGTCATAATTCAATCAAATCTAAAATGGGAATTACAAACTAAAGCAGCAATTTGTAAAGCTATAAAGCTACTTCAAGCTACGCCTATAGAGAACCAATTTACCTCAAACCACATATGTAACGCATATTTCAGATACAAATCAAGATCACATTTTTGCAGTAACTGATTTTGAACGTGACCTTGGTGTCATAATTCAATCAAATCTAAAATGGGAATTACAAACTAAAGCAGCAATTTGTAAAGCTATAAAGCTACTTCAAGCTACGCCTATAGAGAACCAATTTACATGTGATTTTAATAAAACAAAGCACACATCTCTCAAATACATAACAAATAGCAATAACAAACAATTTAAAATGCATTATTTTATAAAATCAGGATAAGACAAGTCTTATTCAATTAAACCTACTATTAGTAATACAATCAAATAGCTTTGTTAAATATATATATATATATATATATATATATATATATACAAATAGTATTGCGTACTAAGGTAAGCAATCTGACGTCATACTGAAATAGCCTGCTGCTGGGGTTTCAGTACATACATCGAGTGACAAATAGCCTGACTCGCAGTGGAGTCCTGTTACATCGACTGAGGGTTTGGGATGGGGAAGCAATCGTTTCATTCATCATTCTTCGTTTTTTTTTCTTCTTTTTCAAAAAAAACGGTATAGCTTAAGGTAAGCAGAAAAAGTGAGCAAATGCTTATCAAAACACGCTTTAGTATATATATATATATATATATATATATATATATATATATATATATATATATATATATATATATATATATATATATATATATATATATATATATATATATATAAATCATATTAAAATAATTTTGTCAAAAAATATACCTTCCCATTTTCATTTCGATAAAAATGCCAATTCGTTGAAAATGCATGCACATTAGGAATGAAAGGCTTTGCATCAGGATTTGGTCTAAAATGCTAAGTTTAAATATATAACTTATGTAAAATCATACAGGACTTTATAAGTACCTACAATAATATATAATACATATATACATACACACATACATACATACATACATACATACATACATACATACATACATACATACATACATACATACATACATACATACATACATACGCATACAAAATTATACACACTGCTTTGAACTGTTAATTGAGTAATTGTTTTTGAGCTAATACAGAAAATATGGAAAGGAAATAACATAAAAAGAATTTTATTTTATGAGCAGAGTGTTTTTTTTTCAATAGGGGTTAAAAATAAAAAATTTGTCAAGTTTTTTCTTCTTATTTCAAAAAAACTTTCATGTATATAATTAATTTTTTTAAATAAATTTAATGACACCATGTTACATTTTAAATAAATTTTTGTTTACTTGGATTTGAATTTGAAATTTGATTTGAACTTGAAATTTTAGAAAAGCAAATTTATTTTCTACTTTTTACTAAACTTATTTCCTATGACATTAAATTTCGTGTAACTAATATAACATATATATATATATATATATATATATATATATATATATATATATATATATATATATATATATATATATATATATATATATATACATATATATATATATATATATATATATATATATATATATATATATATATATATATATATATATATATATATATATATATATATATATATATATATATATATATATATATATATATATATATATATGATTTAAATGTTGACATCTTGTACGAGAGTATATATATATATATATATAAACTAATTTAAAACATCAGATAATAGGAATTCTCTCAATACTAAATGAATTTAAAACATCAGATAATAGGAATTCTCTTAATACTAAATGAATTTAAAACATCAGATAATAGGAATTCTCTCAATACTAACTTTAGTATTGAGAGAATTCGTATTATCTGATGTTTTAAATTAGTTTATATATATATATATATATATATATATATATATATATATATATATATATATATATATATATATATATATATATATATATATAATATAATGCTGAACTTAGTGTCACATCGAGCACGCTTGACATGGAACTCTTGGCTGCCATTGTAACCAACGTAATGGCAAGAAAGAGTCACAGCACTTTTTTTTATAAGAAAACATGAACGAAAGTGTATGCAAATATCTAAATTATATAAACTTCAAATAATGTAATGTTAAAACAAACTAAAACATATATAATTAATTTTTTAATTTTTATAATTAATTTTTTAATTTTAATTAAGTTTTACAGTTTTATTTGAAAACTGCACTGCGGCAAAATCTCCTTAATTTTAATTTAAAAAAATTATTTACCATTTTATAAATTTTTTGTTTACTAAATAGTGTTATAACCTTTCACAATCAAGACACCTTAGTGGCCGAAGAAGTTAGCTAAAAAAGAGTTTTTGAAGCAAAGTGCCATGGTTCTAACCACTAGAACTTTTTTTTTTTTTAAATCATTATTGATTTTTCTAATACAAAACAAAACACTTTTGAAGTTTTATAATTATTATATATGTAACATAAGATAAATATATAACATTAAGATACTATATATAAAGATATTATATAATATAAAAAATGAAAGGATAGCTTTAAGAACAATTTAAACAATATAATAAAAACTACTTATGAAATCTAAATTCAGTATTTGAAATAGATTATATTTCCTTATTTTTTTCTTGAAAAAATTTATACATGACACACCACGTGTCAACATAATTTTATACATAACAAAATGTTGCATCACATATGAACTTAATAATCATTATATTAATGTGATATTAAATTAATAAGAATCACAAAACTTCATTCCATTTAAGAAAAGAATTTTCTTTAAAAAAACTCCTTTCTTAAAACAAAAGGTAGTTTTAGAAGTAGTTTGGTTACTTTCTTTTGCAAAAATTTTAATATATGATGAAGACTTTTTTTTTTTTTTAATTCTGACACACTCCCAACAAGGCTGCCAGCAACCACTATTGTTTAGTAAGTTTAGTATATTATTTAAATATAGATTAATTTTTTATTTTATAAAAATAAATCTTTTAAAACAATTACAATTGTACAATTACAAACAAGTATAATTGATTTTATAAAAACAAGATTTTCAACAACTTTTTAATAAAATTTAAAAAATAATAACCATTAAAGATTGTTACATATGATCTACATACAGAGTGATTAGAGTATATATAAGTGATTAACAAATAAAACAATATTATAATTTTATAATTACAATATAAAAATAATATTTTTATAATATTTTATGATTAGTTATCACAAGATTATAATTTTAGTTTACATTTTTGTTAGATTTGTGTTCAATTCAAATTATGAAAAAACACACGCACGAATTTAATTCAGACGTCTTTTGAATGTTCTACGCTGACCAAAAAAAAACTATAATGGTTCTAAAAAGGTCTAGGATGTTCAGAACGTAAACTGAACGTACATTGCATGTTTTTTGTACGTGTAGTGTTTGCTGAGAAGTAATGAAATTCCTTTGGTATTTAATGGTTCAATTAACCAACTATAAACAGTAACTTGTCTTTTATGTTACTTTTTGCTATTACTTATCAAAAAATAAAATCAAAAGTAAAAACATTTATTTACATACAGAGGGTAATATACTATCTTTGGTATTTACATTATTGTCCAATACTTGTGGTAAAAAAAGCTTCCTTTATCTTATTTTCCTGATTCATATAATTGGTAATCTTTTAAGTCAATTGTTATCTTGCTCTATAAATTTCATCTTTTCAAGAGAAGCAACATTACAATGATGTGATAAAGGTTGGAGGTTGGCTGCAAGAGCAGGTCCAACTACGTTTACAATGCAATTTTGCACCTTGTCTAAAAAAAAAAGGGCATTATCGGAAGATCTGCCCCAGATATGGCAACAGTATTTCATATAAGGACGGGTTTGAGATTTATAGAGATAAAGAATAGAATCCTGAGTAAGAAAGTGCCAAGCATGAAAAAGAGATGCAATCTTAGCAGATGCTAATTTTGCAATGGATTTGATATATGGTTTTCAAAAAAGATCAGAAAAGTTAATCCAAGAAAATGAAGGGTAGATGACTCATCAAGTATTATTTATGTAAATAATTCTAATAACATTTTTTAAATTTTTAGTTTTTTTAATTAATTTTTAAAACTTAAAACAGCTACAAATATGAACTGCTGATAAAAAGTGGTTCACACAACAGGTACTAATACCTGAATAGTTAAAAAGTTGTTAAAGTTAATTTTATAATTGAATTATTTTATTTTCTAAACTTTAAAAAGTAGACAAATTTTATATATACATAAAACCTTTCCAGGAAGCATTTTTTTACATGAAAAATATATACCTTCATACACAGTGTTTTTTTCTTAAGTTTTTGTAGGTTTGAATCCACTGCTTAGTAAGAAATTTTTGATTTTTCTGTTTTTTACAATACAAAATAAAACTTTTTTTTAAATACATATATTATACATAATTTAAATATACAAATTCAACTTAACCTACTAACAATTACACTTACAGGTGTTTGTACATATTGCTATATAAATGAAATTTTTTAAGAACTCACTGCAAATAAAGCTATAAAAAACTAGAGAATAAAACAGCAATACTCAGAAGAAAAAAACCGAAGACTATACGAAACAGAAAATCTAAACAAAATAAGCTCAAAAAAATTCAATATTAAAAAAAAAATTGTTGTCAAAAAAATAATATACCTAAATATTTTACTCTTCTTGTTTTCTTAATTTTAGAGCGTTTGTTATTTTCACTACCAAAATTGATACAAGTCGAGGGAAAAAGTAGATAAGAATTAAACAAAAATTTTTTTTTATTCAATTTTTTTGCAACTTTTTTTAGTCAGTATATTAAGGAAATAGATTATAATTCGCTAGAAACACAGAAGATTTTTAAATTAGTTTTTCAAATGTCTTTGCTAAACTGTTTTTATCAGTGCACATGAAAGCAAGAAGACTAATTGCTAATTACTTGTAAAAAAAAAAATTTTTTTCAACAAGCTTTTCATGTAAAAAAGTGAAACAGGCCTTGAAATAAGCACCGGACATCAGACATTGTCAAGTACTTGTCCGGTAAAAAATGACATCTATTGGTCATTTTGTCCAGCATATATTTTTTGTGTTTTCATTTTCTAAACATTTTATTTGTTCCAAAATTATTAATACATTCAGTATTGTATAAACTTTATTTTTGAACTTTTTATTTTTTACACAAAACAAAATTGAAGTTGAACACACGACTGCATTTATAAAATACATCATTTTAATAATCTTTTCTTTCACTTAACATGAACTCTTCCTCAACTTTCTTTGTCGTCCAAGGGACACATAAAAACTAACCTTTTATATAGAAATTTGCTTCTAAACTGCTTGCGGGTTTGTTTTTTATTAAAAAGTTAATAAATAAAGTTCTTTATTTATTAACAAATGTTTTTTTTTTAAATTGGCTAATATTGCGCTTGTGGGTTGGTATCTTTTTTTTTAATTTTTTATTAATACTTTTTTTTTGAAAAAATGTTTTTTTAAATAAAATTGAAAAATATAATATTAATAAAAAAATATATTACATATGTGGTAGGACATGGGTGGAAATAAAAATGAAATATTTGTACTTTATGTTATTTTACTTTTATATAAAAAAATTCTGCTCCTTTAATCTGGAATGGCTTAATAAGCGTGAATCGGCATAAGTGCGAACTAGCATAAGTGCAAGGCGTTGCAAAAACTGTCACAAGTGCGAACAAGTGCAAAGTGGCATAAAGCCCATTCTCCATTCAGAACTTTTTGCGCTTTGGAGAAGCGGAAAAGTTCTTTGAGCATGCGCAAACAGTTTTTTAAAACCCGTTCTCCTATCAGAACTTTTTGCGCATGCTCAAAGAACTTTTCCGCTCCTCCAAAGCGCAAAAAGTTCTGAATGGAGAACGGGCTTAAG